ATAACCATCAAGCCCTCAGGGAAGGGCCAGTCTCTTCCCCCTTACTTTCACACAGTCCAGCTGGGGGCTGAGGAGATGCTTGGAATGTCACTCCACCTCCCTTTAACCTTGAAGCTCCATACCAGAATCCTCCCCACTCATGTCTTCCATCACAGCCAGGCCCTATCATCTGAACCTGGGAGAATAAGCTCTGGATCAATGTTGCTACACTATAACTTCCATTAGCCATGACAGTTTGGGCAATGGTGAGGAATGCTGGGAGTGGTAGTTCAGCAATCCATTTTCCATCCCATTCTCAGATCTATGGGCAGCACTAAGCCACAGAGAGTCTTGGATTGGCAACCTGTCCTTGTTGGTCTAGTGGAAGCATCCCTTTCCACCTGTAGTTCTGTTTCAGCTAGACCTGGAATTATGGCCACAGTGTTTAGGAACAACTAATCAGCTTCATTAATCAAACTGGGTTCAGACTTCATGCTAAGCCATAATGCCGTTTATTTGGTTTTGATTTACATGTCTGAAGCCTTTATGGTTTGCAAACCATGGTTTATGGCTCTGTATGTTGAGCAAACCAGGGCATTACAGCTTGGCCTTAGCTTAGCATGATACATGATTCCAGTTATAGTTTGAAAGTAGCTTGCTTCTTTGCTACAGAATACAGTGTTTAGATGTTCATGGATGTACTAATTGCACGGTTTCTTCTCCTTGTAGGAAAGAAATTCAGTGCAAGGGCCAAATGGGTCACAATCCCACAGAAGATGCCCAGTGCGCCCTTGAGTTGGCCCAGTATTTCATTGACCAAGGACCCAAGAAAGTAAGCAGCTTGATTCTTTTAGATTGTTGTTTGAAGGGGAGGAATAAATGTATCCCTACACCATATAATATTTGCCAAATAATTCTAATTGTAATTATGATTAAAAGGCAGATAATGATGCAAAGGAAAAAATACCAGAAAGTTTAAGTTGGGGGTGTGGAATAGCATAGATATACATGCAACTATACCCCCCTCCCCAACATGAAAGTGTTTATTGTTATTCCATTTTAGCAAGTTCACTGATTTTTTTTAATGGGAGGCAGTCACATTCTACAATGTGACCTAGTGGATCCACGTCTCTCAGCAGTAGAGAAAACACATGTTGGCGCCCCAGCCAATATGGACGATGGAAGATAGTGCTGGGAGTTATATTTTAGTGGCATCTCAGCTTTTTAGGAACTGACCATCAACAGTTTCCTTTGCTACTGTGATGGAATGGAATTATGAAGGCCAGGCTCAGGGAGATAAACATTTTCTTAGCTCGTCGGAGGAATGTGGGAGCTACAAGAGGATGAGACTGGCACCTCCCTGAGGAATTCACACTGTTGTGGCTG